AGGCGACCAGACATAGTGGCTCCTGCTGAGCCTGTTGCATCGTACCCGCCAAGCTCTTGCAAACACAGCGCCGTCGAATGTGCAGGAATGCTGCAGACGCCCATATAAACGCCCGTACGGCTACCTCGTAGCTGTCTATCTGTGTAACCGGCCCGCTCAAAGCCTTCCCAGCACGTCTCGAGCATGATACGTTGTGCAGGATCCATGGCACGCGCCTCTTTGGGCGAGATGCCGAAGAACGATGCATCGAATTCATCAATAGAAGCAAGAAACCCACCTCTCCGGCAGTGTGATTTACCTGGAGTGCCTGGATTAGGGTCATAGAAAGCATCGGCGTCCCAACGGTCTTTTGGCACGTCGGTTATGACATCGGCACCATGCTCGAGAAGATCCCAGTACTCTTCCGGGGATGAGACTTGACCTGGTAGCCTGCATGCCATCGATACAATAGCGATATCCTCGTCGTATGGCCTTGGGCGATGGCTCTGTGGAGTGGTAGGGTCCGGTGTAGTTTCGCCCTCCCTTTCTAGATATGTTGCTAATGTCTTGATAGTGTAGTGTTGGAAAAGGCGGGCTGGAGATAATTTCCAGCTAACCAGCTTTTGCACCTGTTTTTGCATCCGAACGACCCGCATAGAGTCGCCGCCTATCTCGAAGAAATTATCGTCGGGCCCGATGCAGTCGTGTCCCAAGACTCTTGACCAGATCAGCCGGAGCTTCTCCTCCATATCGGTCAACGGCCTGCTGATCTTGGGCTGCACTACAATCTTTGGATCTGGTAGGGCTTTTCGATCAATCTTATTGTTCGGCGTCATAGGAAATGATTTGAGGCTGACAAAGAAAGCTGGCATCATATACGCTGGTAGAAGCTGCGCTAACCATGGACGCAATAGACTCTCAAGTGCCGGTTTCTCTTCGGTTTCGTCACTGCTATCGCCATCGACGTTTATACAGTACGCTATCAGTCTATCGTCCCGGCTAATCACAACAGCATCCAGGACGTCACTGTGGTCGGTTATTGCTGCCTCAATGTCGCCCAGCTCAATCCGATGACCCCGTATCTTTACTTGCCCATCGGCGCGGCCTAATACGATCAACCTATCCGGACCATCGAACTTGGCTATGTCACCGGTACGGTATATCAGACCACTGTGGAAGGGATTTTGAACGAAACGTGATTGAGTAACTTCGGGCATGTTGTGGTACCCATTGGCCAAGCTTACTCCGCCAATGTAAAGCTCGCCAGCGCACCCAAAGGATACTGGCTCAAGGCCATCATCGAGAACGTAGAGTCGGTAGTTGGTGATGGGCTTTCCAATGACCACGTTCTTTCCTGGAAGTACTCTCCAGATACTCGCCCAGACTGTCGCCTCCGTCGGGCCATACATATTCCACACTGACTCTGCACACAACAATAGCCGGTCTGCAAGCCTACGAGACAGCGCTTCGCCGCCGCATAAGATCCTGGAAAGACGCGGATCTCCTTTCCAACCAGCATCCAGTAGCATCTGCCATGTCGCAGGTGTTGCCTGCATCATAGTTATGTCGTGTTGCTGAATCAAGCTGAGTGTGGCCTCTGGATCCTTGACCTCGTGCGCCTGGGCCATGATCATCGTCGCGCCACACAACAACGGAAGAAAGACTTCTAACGCTGCAATGTCGAAAGATATCGTTGTAATGGCAAGTAATCGATCTGTTTCTGCACATCCTGGCTCCCGTTGCATTGCGCACAAAAAGTTCGACAACGCTCCGTGGCTGATCTCGACGCCTTTTGGCTTGCCAGTAGAGCCAGAAGTGTAAATCACGTATGCGAGATCTTCTGACTCTGGATCCGTATCTACGCTGCTTATTTGCGACTCCGAGTCTGCCATCTTATCCCGTGTCTCATCAAGGTCCAGTGTTGCGCATCCCCAGGATTGAGAAGCAAGTCGTGTGCTAGCGCCGACGATGACCAGTATCGGGCTTGCATCCTCGATCATGTGTCTGATGCGGTCTGTGGGGAATCCTGGATCGATGGGCATGTATGCTGCGCCTGTCTTCATTACGGCCAACAGCGCTACGACGAGGTCGATGGAACGGTCCAGGGCGATACCAACGACCTCGCCACGTCCGATGCCTCGGTTTACCAAAATGCGGGCAAGTTGTGTTGCGAGTGTTGCGAGTGTTTTGAATGTTACTTTCTCGTCCCCACATATCATGGCAATCTTGTCGCAATGCCTTTCTGCGGTTTGTTGGAGAAGGCGAGGCAGACTGTGTCCGAGAATGGTGGTGTCGAGCGTGTCATTGTATCGCTCAATGATAGCTTGGTAGTCTTCAGGTGAGACTGAATTGTTCATGGCAGACGAGGCTGTATCTGATTGATGTGAAGTCGAAGGGGGCGGGATGGCATTTTCAATGAGTGCCATTGTTTAATCGAGGTTGAGAAGTGAATGTTAAGTGTCTTTGGTTTGGCCTCTTCTGGATGACTGTTCATTCGTTTAGTGTGATGCTGAAGCTATAGAAGCACCTTGTACGATGTCAGGTCTTCATAGAGCAGTATATGGCTTTGTAATATCAGTTCCCAACCATATTCCTCAATGGTAAAGTTCAAGTACGACCCGACTCCGATACCCTAAACAGGCAAAGCGACTATTCCATTCCTCCATAAATTAGCTCCGGGATGGTTACAGGATCGTAGATCGATGATCAGCAAACCGGACCTGCTTATGCGAACCAGTCTCCGACAGTCGGTGAGGATGAGATCGGTGCCTCCGGACATGACCCATGTCATATCGTTGTCGGTACTGATTCCTTCTCCGGCTTTGCAGGACGTAGATCACACACAGATTGTTGCAACATACGTTGTACTTCTCAAGGTTTTCTCTACTAGAAACATTTCGTCAAGACATTTGGCTTACCTAGTAGTTCTTTCACTTTATCATATCGTGGTTCTTGATCATCACACATTACCATCGAAAGCTACTCTTCTATTTTCTCTTCATCCTCGACATACTCGTTAGAAGACTTCTAACAGTACCCCCTAAGACTGTCATCATGCAAGTAGCAACCGAGATTCCGGTCCCTGCTCCGTTCACAGACGGTTTGCGGACTGCTCCCTCAGAAGAACCTTGGGACTTCTCACTTGGTCTGAACCCTACCAGTCTGAAGCGTCAAGCCAACAAAGACACTTCCATGACTCTCGAACATTCTGGAGAGCAACAGCCACCCTTTGTTGATTTGGCTTGGGCATGCAACAAAGAAGCATCCAACGACTTCCGATCCGACTTCTTCACCAAGCCCACACTACCGATGCTCGAAGCCATCATCAACACATCTCTCGGCGATGGAGACATGGACGAGGACAAAACCACGAATTCCTTCCAAGACTACGTCGCCAGCCTCGTAGGCCATGAGGCCGCTCTCCTAGTCGTCTCCGGCACAATGGGCAACCAAGTCGCCCTCCGCTCTGCCCTAGGCGCCCCACCGCACTCGATCCTCGCCGACCACCGGGGCCACATCATCATCCTCGAAGGCGGCGGCGCCTCGAGCCTCTTCGGCGCAATGATCAAACAAGTCGTCCCATCAAACGGCCACCACCTCACCCTCGCCGACATCCAGAAACACGCCACCACCACCACAACCGTATACGACTGCCCGACCCGCATCATCAGCCTGGAAAACACCCTCTGGGGCACCGTCATGCCCCTGGCGGAAATCCGTGCTATTTCCCATTGGGCTCGCGCTCAAAACCCGCCTATCCACATGCATCTCGACGGGGCCCGCCTGTGGGAAGCAGTGGCGGCTGGGGCTTGCACCTTGCGCGACATGGGCGAGTGCTTCGACAGCATCCAGATGTGTTTTACCAAGGGTCTTGGGGCTCCCATTGGCAGCATCGTGACGGGCACTCTGCCGTTCATCCAGCGAGCAAAGTGGAGTCGCAAGCTGCTGGGCGGGAGTACGCGGTCGTCTGGTGTCATTGCTGCCCCGGCTCGTGTAGCTATCGATCAGGTTTTCCTTGCAGGGAAACTAAAAGCTGCGCAGGATAAGGCGGCCAGAGCGTCGCGACTGTGGGAGCAGTTGGGTGGGAAGCTGGCGTTGCCGACGGAGACGAATATCATTTGGGTTGATCTTGAGGCGTCGGGGTTGGTGCCTGAGGTTTTTTATGGGATGGCGGCCAAGTTTGATGTTAAGATTGGGGCGCCGATTTTTGGGCGGATTGTGTTTCATTATCAGATTAGTGAGGCGGCGTTTTCAAGGCTTTGTGAGTTTTTTAGGGCGGTGTTTAGGGACAGTGGGAAGTTGTGAAGTAGTTTGTCATGTTTTAGATTGGCTTTTTTTTGAATCTATTGTTTTTTTTTTGCATATTCGTAACTGAAACAGTGGTTTTTTTCAAACAATTGATTGCAGGAGGCGTGAACGTACACATTGTACACTTGCTAGCATTAGAGTTTACTCATGATGAGCAATACAATAAGAGACGTGCATATTGGAAAACTAATTAGTCGCTTTTTTTTCATGATTGAATTTGCAAACGCCTTTCCAATGTAGATGCTTTGCCATGTGATTGGAACAAAATGGACGAATTGGCAATCAAGCCATGGAGCCTCTCATCACCACCTGCTTGGTCAATGCCAAGACCGATCGAGATGGTGATAGAGTACTGTGTATACAATCCCTGTTCGGAAGTCCGATGACCGTTCCGAGATCTCACCTTGCAGCCGAAACAGTCGTGGGAGCAACGGATGCAAGATCGGATAACGTGCGTGAAATCCTTTTGTGGATCCGCCGACTCCGGGTCAGCACCATCATAGGTGAGGATGGCAGAAACATCGACGATGAGAAACCGACTGAGGTTGTGCCAGCTGCCTCTCAACAGAAAATGCTTTGTTTAAATAATGAATGAAACGTGCATAATGTCTGGGTTTGAACTGTGGAAACAAGGCACTCATCACCGTTTCGTCTTCCGAACATTGCTTCAATCTACTTTGAAATTTTCAAATATCACCGCCAAAATGATCGACATGAACGTCCGAACGCTGGACTTCACCAAGTTCACCGGGACTGATCAAGAGCGCAAGGAATTCTGTCAGGGATTCCTAGATGGTATTACTGACATTGGCTTTGTCAAGCTGATCAACCATGGCTTGGACGACAAGACCAACTCTGAACTGTTCCAACAGGTAGTCTCGACAATATACCCTTTTCACTTGGTTTCGAGTATCACTGACGATACATAGAGCCGCAATCTGTTCACACTTCCCCGGGAAAGCAAAGAAGAGTTTGCCAACGTTATTGGTCCCAAGCCGCAACGCGGATGGAGCTGCATCGGCGCTGAGACCACTGCGACGTTGAACACGCCAGGAGTGATCAACATGGTCAGGGTCAACAACGAGGGTCTAAAGGACCTGAAGGTAAGCACTCTCATTGCTGATGATGTTGAACACGTACTAAGCGACTGTGCAGGAGCATTTCGACATGGGACCCGTCGATGACCCCGAGTTTCCAAACGTATATCCATCCGAGGAAAAAGCCCCCGGCTTCAAGGACTGGATGGAGCAATACTTCATCAAAAGCCAGCACCTCTCCCTGCAGCTAATGGAAGCTCTGGAGATCGCGTTGGATCTACCTAAGAGCGCTCTCGTCAATCGATGCGAGGGCCACGCGAGCGAGATCAGAATGATCTACTACCCAGAAACCAACGTGAAGGAGCTCGCGGATGGGAAATCAAAGCGCATCTGGCCACACACTGATTTTGGTATCCTAACTCTGTTGGCGCAGGGTAGCACGGGCGGTCTCCAGATCGAGGACAAGAACAATCCTGGGGGGTATGTATCTGTGCCCCTTGTCGAAAAGACGGAGCTACTCATCAATGTTGGGGACACACTTGAGCGATGGAGCAACGGAAGGATCCCCGCTGGGCTGCATCAAGTTGCGGCTTCGGGTGAGACGGAAGACGGGACGTTGCCGGAGCGGTACTCGGTGGCATTCTTCCTGAAGGCCAATCGCAAGACGTCTGCTGGGCCTATTCCTATTTTTGTGCCAAAGGGCACCACGTCCAAGTATGAGGAGATGACTGCGCTTGAGTACCACCGACGCCGTACTGCAATCATGTACTAGTCATTTTTGAATTTTGTATGTAGTTCTGGAGAATCGACGTCTTGTTCTGGGAGATGGCCATCCTGTTGTGCATCTGCCTGGTGCTCTTTCTTGCCATGCATTGCTGATGTGTCTCTAAACTGTGACGTCTTTTTTTCAGAGTGACGTTCAGGTTAAAATTAGTGGTCAGGATAAATACGAAAGGAAGATGGTGGTGCGTATGCCGAATAGCTACGTAATTAGTTGACGAGGATGCCCGATGTTTATACAAGCACGATGCGGGCGTACAACCCAGTCAGATGCCCTGTAAAGCGGTTCCTCATTTGGTCGAATCTAGACTGGATCTAGATGAGGCACTCGTTCGCCGTCTCCAGGAGATATGCAACCACTCAGGCCAGCTATGCAGCCTCTTCCGAGGCGAGATATAGAGCCGCTTGTAAGGCGACCAGCGATCAAATGGTATTCATCTCTGGGCAATGGTTTCAGTTGGAAGCGAGCCAGATATGCACAAATGTACGAACTTGCCAATGCCAATTCATCTTTGTTCGCCTAGTATGCAGCGCCAATGCGGGATTGCGGCACTGTGGTAGATGTTGGAGCACACGAGGTGCCTGCACTGTCCGTTTCGGTGCGTAGACTTGTGTAACAGTCCAGAGATTGGTGGGCATGGAGGCTCCATACTAGGGTGGCCATGTAATTGTGTCTTGTTAGCGTTAGGAGGGATGCATTGTGATGGTGAAGGTAAGCAAGGGGCTCGCAGCCAAGCAGCAACATCATCGATCGGAGACAGACAAATCCTCCTCCTCGGACATCCGAACAGGGATCAGACGGTGGCTGCCAAACACGTCGAATGGTGAAACCAACACCTTCCACATCGGGGAATATCTCAACTCGTGGGAGCGCAGTCAGCCCATGGCTTTCCGCTGGATGCGTGACGTCAACATGACGGCCAAGCAGCCACCGCGTCGCGTTTGCAGCCCCCAACATAGCGTTTGTTCCAACAACCTTCATTCGCCAACGGCTCTAAAGTACATACACGCCCTTAGCAGCCATGCTCTCGTCGCCTGCTTCACGGCCATCGCCATTTCCCTCGCAAACCACTCGTTGACATGGCTCCAGCAGCCGTCGAGCTCGACACCCTCGACTCTAGCCGCCATTCACAGGATGCGGCCAACACAGAGTCTGACCCTCGGGCTACCCACGACGAAAGCACGCTTCCGCCAGTCGACAGCGGAAAGGCAGCCTGGCTGTTCCTAGCTGCTTGTTGGGCTGTCGAGGCTTTTGTATTTGGTAAGTATCTATCCGTATGCTTTCATGCGTTCCCCAAGCTTATACAGTCATTGGTAGGATTCGGCTTCTCCTTTGGCGTATTCCAGGATTTCTATACCACCCATGAGCCATTTGCAGGTTCAGGTGACATTGCAGTCATTGGTACCACTACTCTGGTAAGCGAGCTTCCACGCATCCATCTTCTGCTATGGAAAACTCAGCAATATCACAGGGAACCCTCTACATGGGAACACCTTTTGTTCTCATGCTTTGCCGCCTGTTGCCCCGCTGGGCCCGCTGGTTTACGCTTCTGGGTCTCTTCACCTCTACTTTATCCATGGCAATGAGTTCCTTTTGCACGACGGTTCCTCAACTCATTGGAACTCAGGGCCTCATGTTTGGAATCGGCGGCTGCTTCGCTTACTGTCCTTGCGTCGTCTATATCGACGAGTGGTTCGCCAAACGCAAAGGCATGGCTTACGGCGTCATGTGGAGCGCCGCAGGCACTGGAGGTGTTGTGCTTCCCCTGGTTCTCCAAGTACTTCTCAACAACCTCGGATTCGAGACGGCTACGAGAATCTGGGCTGGTATCTTCTTTGTTGCCACACTGCCCTTGTCCTTCTTCATCAGGCCCAGGCTACCAAATTCGGCAACCACACATATATCACCATTCAATGTGCGCCACCTCATGTCAAAGTTATTTGCCCTTCATCAACTATTCAACTTCATACAAGCCACTGGCTATTTCCTACCTGGTATCTACCTCCCCACTTATGCCCGCAGAATCTTTGGTGCATCCGACTTTCTATCAACATTGACCATCATGCTGGTCAACATATCTGCCACAATCGGTTGCGTCATCATGGGTTGGATGACGGATAAACTCAGAGTTACGACGTGCATTGTCATCTCTGCTCTGGGCACCACAATGTCCGTCCTTGTTATTTGGGGACTCGCCACATCTTTACCCGTTCTTTACGTGTTCTGCATCTTCTACGGCCTGTTCGCGGGAAGCTGGACTTCTGTCTATCCAGGAATCATGAGAGATGTTGCCAAGAAGGGCGAGAGTGCAGGCCACAGCTCGGCCGACCCAGTAGTGGTCATGGGCTACTTGTTGCTCGCCAGAGGTATCGGAAATATCATCTCTGGACCCTTGAGCGAAGCGCTTGTAGAGGGCGAGCCTTGGCGAGGACAGGCTTCAGCAGGCTACGGAAGTGGATATGGAGCACTTCTCGTCTACTCTGGCGTGACTGCCCTTTTTAGTGGGACTAACTTTGTACTCGACTACCTTGGTTGGCTATAAGTATGTTGATGTTAGATCAAGTTTACTGCATCCGCAATCGTGGGGAGTAACAGAGGTAATACCATCGAGAACCATCAGGAATGAGCATTCAACTTGCACGTTCTCCCTATGATGTAATATAATAATTCGCCATCTTGGCAACTTTACGCTGCAGTTGAACGCATCATGTGATCGGCAGCCCATGTATCCTTTGTTTCAGTCTCATTATCTTATTCGACAAAATCCGAATGTCAACGAGGCGGAATTCCACCGCGCCTCTCCTTCCGCGGCCACAAAACCCTGACCTCTATTGCCCAAAGAGATTTGAGCGACATGAAAATCCTCTGAATAAGCCTCTTTGGCTACGCGTTCAACTGGTCGGGATTGGATCTCAGTGCGCGGCTGACAGATCTCGGCTTCGTCTTCGTCAGAACCCCACTATACCACACCTACACCGACAATTTTCAGGGAAGTGATAGTACCCAACAGCATGCTGTCTGGAGCTCGAAACTGCCGTCGGAATGCAGCATATGCATATTAGCCACTGCATGGCTTGCAGTGGTGTGGGCGGGTAAGTCTTTAGGTTCCGTTTTCGGGCCCCGGGATCCACTTCCCTCGGCAACCGCATGGATCGACAAGGGTGGGTATGTCCGCCCCGGACTAGCCACTGATACCTACAGACACGTGCGTCCGCGGCTCTGGTTAAACGTTGGTACATGCACACATCTAGAGACTGATTATGAAGATATCGTGAACAAGATTTGCTCAGGGATGGCGTGGGAACTCTGATGTTTAACCTTCTATGAGCATTTTCCGAATCAACGACACTGTCAGATTCGTCTTTCATCCTTTGCGTGGCAATAAGACTGCCTAGGCTCTTGAATCTTAAACGGATCTGACTGTGCCGTCCCCATAGGTAGGATCAGATAGGCCACCAGCGGCTGACGCCTGACCAGATGCACATGAGAGATGCCGGTGAATGATCCTTTTAAATCCCTCTCATAATGGCCTCAAAGCTCGTCATTGTGACATATTGACGTATATTGCCAGTTGGTAGTTATGGCAATCGAGATTGGCATGCAGGTAATACGTTGCTATGTCCAGGAGACAATATAGGCGGGTTTTGGCAAAGCTGGGGGGCGGGTGGCCACGTAAGACCTTCTCTTCGCTCAGTCTGCCTGTTCTTTAATAAACTTTCATGCCGGTTTTTGTGATACTTTGCAAAACGGTGACTCAAACAAGCCGTCACACAACGCTCGGAACAATTCTAGGATCTTCAATATGCAAGACCAGGACCAGTATGTGGATGTCGACAACGAACTACGCTTGAAGGAGATTAGTCGACGATCAGCATGCGATCGATGTAGAAGGATGAAGACACGCTGCGATCGGGGCAGCAACTGGGATCTTGTTCAACTACAACAGTGTCGTCGATGCTGGCAAGCACGAGTGAAGTGCATCACGACCATGGAGGGTCAGCAACATCTAAACAGACCGTCAGATGAGCCAACTCACAGGCACTGGAAACAATTCAGGACCCCTTCTTATTCATCGAGCAGCAGCTATCAAGTTTCTGAAGCTGTTCAAGATGCAGCCGGGCAGCATTCAAATCCATCAGCCGAACAGAGTCGAGGGCAATTTACCGCCGATGTTCCCCCATCATATCCCACGGCAGCAGACACAAGATCCGACTATGACATATGGTCAACATATGATATCGATCACTCATGGCGAGATTTAGGCGATGGTCTAGATCAAGAAGGAAACTCGACACATACAAGGCTTGCCGCTATCTCGCCTACAAACAAGGCATTGCAAAACCCAACTCCATCAATCGACATGATCGACTCATCCACAAATGTGCAAAACCTTCTTACTGCTTCCCAATTCAACCATACATCACAAGAGTGTCGTGATCTATTCCTTCACGACTCGTCTATCTCTCTAGAGTCCGAATCTCTTGACAAAACCATCATGAGCGAACTGATGAAGTTCAACAACAGAGTGTCGCTCGACCTTCAAGACAGCACAGAAGCTTCTCAACACGCCACCAACAGCAAAAGCGTATTGGTCAAAACGTTTCAACACTCAATCGTATTCACAGAACTGCTGTCACGCATCCGGCAAGTAGGAGATATTTCAGACGGCAGTTCCTCTGGTTCCGAGAGCGCCGATTTGCGCTACGGATGCAGTGCATCCGAGCCCTACAACAAAGTAGACACCGACCTGGCCCTCCAACTCCTATCCTGCAACATGAACGTAAACAACATGTACAAGCGCCTCTACATGGAGCTCCGGACGCGCAACTGGGAAATCGGAAATGCACACGTTCTTCCGACCCTATCGCTCGAGGGTCTGCAGAGCCTCGACGTCGTGATGCGCAATCAGGTTCTGTTGCACGTTTGTCTGCTGAACTTTGCAAAGATACAGAGCGAGTTTGAGGTGATTAGGAGTAGGGGTTACCTGACGCCTACGGCGGAGAAGACGTTTCAGATTGTGATTGGGGCGAGTAGGAAGAGGGCTTTGAGCGATGGGTTGGGGATAGAGCAGAGTCTAGAGAACTTTAGGCAGATGCTTGTTGATGGAGGGGTTTTGTCGCTTTGAGAATGGCACCTTTTGGTATGTAAGGTATTGCTTGCAATACACCGCATGAGTTATACTGATGGGATTGGCTGGGTCAATCGAATTCTTGACGTTATTCAACATTTCATTTTGCGATAAAATCCATTCCTCCTGAGCCCTAAGAATTACGTAGTCCAACATTACTAGGACAGTAAAATGAATAGTTTAGGAACTTTCAAGCTTCTCCATTCGCAAAGAACCGTAGTAACACGTAAATATGCTGCTTAGTAATTTCTTACTTAGCACTAGCATCTGGCCTTAGGTGAAGAGCCGCATGCTTTTAGTCTTGACACACGTCGCTTCAGGGCATGGCTGCTGCCGAACACTTACCCAAACGCCAATGTCCTGATTACTTCTTCCCCCACTCTAGAATCAGAGCTGTATCAAACAGAACCAGATTTCTGTCTCGCACCGACACGCTAGTCTACCAGACATCAAAAAGCACTATGTCTGTAAACATACCACAAATGGACTGGTACCCGCCCAAGTGGAACGCAGCTGATATTCCTCCTCATCTGCTCATGTCTGGGCCGCCCCCAGAAACGCCATCATCTTCAGATCCAGAGCCAAACGAAATCTTTGACAGATTAAAATGGTCTGTTCTAGATCACCCATCACACGGACAAGTCTGCGTACACGATGATAAAGGAGCATTGCAATGGCGTTGACTTTTCGATAAAGCCAACAAATCCCTATGTGACGCCGCAGCAACAAATCCGCCATAGTCTCGCTTGCAGATATGAATCAAACCACTGCATAGCTGGCCGCACTGGCACGATTCAGAAACACAGCATCTACGACCAGCCCCCTTACTTATTGAAAACACAAACGACGAACACATTTCTGTTGAAAAGCTTGTTCATGCTGTTTACAACTATGCAATTCCCTTGCGTCAAATGCTCATCCGATGCGCGGATATAAGAGATCCGTTGGAACAAGACCACGCAAAGTTTTATTTTGATGGGATCTCTGGAGGGTCTGGAGGTGGAGATGGATGGGCAACAGGGTTTTGCGGTCAATGTTATTGAGGATTCGGTCGGTGACGGTGAGGGATGTAAATGGCTTTGGCAAAGATATAGAGACAATAGTGAGGAGTCTGTTTATGCAGAAATGAATGCGGTGGCTAGAAGGTAACGTTATGCTACTTCAGCAGGCGACCGGTATGTAAATCTGCATTTCTGTGTCCACATGGACTAAGTATATCCCCAAAGCCCCACAGGGTAGTTTTTACGCCAACACTTGTTGTGCAGGTACGCGAGAGCTAGCAGGTGTTTTACTTTAGTACTCTGCAGTCACTTAGAGTTAGGAATTCATTTACTGCCTCCTTGTCTTCCGTCTTCAACTACTCTTTTCAGATCATCGAAAGTTGAATACTACTATGTCTTAATTGTAATTCAAGGGTGCCATGCGACATGTGTAGGGATCTGGTTATGGTGCACCCCTTGCCTGAACTTGGTCGTGCCAGTGCTCAGGGTATGACCCAGATGTGCGACTGCAGATCATGTTGTACCGCGATAAAGTGTCACAGAGATCTTGCACCACGCACAAGTCCGATGTATCAGATGAAAGAAGCCCAAAAAATCCCTGTTTGCCTATTTTCAACCCTGGTTATCAAACGCACTTGATTCACGTGGCCACTGTAGCCCGTGTTAGCAGGACACTAGAAATACGTAGGACGTAGGGAGTAAGATTCAGCTCTCTTTCTCACTGAAATAAACCACTCTTTGCTAACCATGGATCCAAAATAACCACAACATGTGTCAGCAGACTTCCGCCAAGCTCCTCTCTTGACTAGTCCTCCTCCCGTAGTCCTTGGCGCATCCTGCTGCCATCGAAAGTGCAACCACAGCTTCCTCCGGAGGAATGCAATTGTCTCGGCAACCCCGACATCTGCCGGTCAGCCGGGGCACAGTTACACGACATAGTTTTGTGCTGTGTGTCAATGCGGAGGCTCTTCTAAGCGGAGCGTGCTACGCGCGGAAAAGGTGGGACGGGCATCATGTATTGTGGCGGGGAACTGAAAACGTGGGAGTTGATTGGCTGACGTTGTATACGGGTGTTTGTTGCGGATGAGTAGATGGATGGTAACACAGAGGATCATAGCACTTGAGGAAAGGGGTGTTAGCAATGCGGATAGAAGGCATGCAATGCATGTTTCTCGGGGCTGATGCGTGGTGGGCTGGAACGGTATCAGATCTTCATGAACAACTCGCCCTTCATTCAGCTGACATTTTAGTATTTTCCAAGGCTTTTACTGGGTGCGAAGTGGTAGTATGGAAATAATTTGCAGTGTAGGTGGAACGGCCCATAAAGTTGTGACTGGGAGAGTTGTTATCAGAGATCTAATTCGCAGTTCTGTAGATTCGAAAATTGGCACACGCATACTAGTAACCCCAGCTATCGAAGCAGCAAGAAGTAGAAATAGCAATGCCTAATCTAACCCTCCTAATTGTAACCGCACATGTTGCTAGTCCGCAATTACATGCAACCCCATGCTTCTCTATATCTCTCATGATTTCCCTTATTCATCCAAGTGACAGAAATACCTCCCTCGTCTTCTCATACCTCGGCGTCCCCAGTTCTGTAAACAATTTCTTACCCAGAGACTAGATTTCTTTTCAGAAATTTTGTATCTCAGGCGACCAAGACGTTTAAAGTTTCACAGAGTATTATAAACATGACATTACACACACGTTCCTAGAGAAACTCCGCACCCCCTGCATGGCGCATACCACAGCAAGGGGTGAAGCAGTTAAGAAAGTGAAACTCATCGTTAGCATCACTGGAAGCTGACATTACCACCTTCGAAGATGGGGTTCATGGCTTCCCTCAATCACTCTCCCCATCTATTCATACCCCTCGCTCTTCGCATTATGACTTGGCTTAGTCCCGAGCTTCATAACGGGGCTATTAATAAAATTATCCAACCCGTCATGCGTAAAAAAGCTCTGCGCCTTGGAAATCTGCACCTCGTTTGCGCCCCGCTTCCATATATTCTCATCATATGCTGTAATGGCATCTTGTGGTGTCGCGCTACCAGACTGAACGCTCTTGATAGCTTCAACGAGACAGTGGGCAGAGTAAAAAGCATTGTTGGCGCCTTGGCCACGGTGGAATGTCATGGCGTGTGCTGCGTCACCGCATAGAGTTACTCGCCCGCCTTGGTTGTTCCAGGGGGCTGTTTTCCAGATTTTGAGCTGATCTCGTAGTACATTGGTGTCGTCGGGTATCCACTCGATAGCGCTCTTGTATGGTTCCGCCCAGCCGTCTCTTTTGATATGCGCTTTCAGTCTTTGCAGTCGATCGTCTTCGTTGTCGTGGTCTTCAACGTATTTGAGCGGCCAGGTGGAGAGAATCTGGAATGTCCAGGTACTGGCGTCTTTTTCGTCCGGCATATCGAGCACGTTGGCGCGAATGTAATGACCAGCTGGGTGTATGGCAATATCCACAAGAGGATGGAGACGCTCTTTGATAAAATGCGCTTGCTCAGCTGTGTAGGAAGCATTGAAGTTCATCAGTGCAAACGGGAGCGTCTCCATGTTTCCCTCTTTGGGAAGCAGACAACGGCGGACTTTGGACATGGCACCATCGATGCCAACGAGCAAGTCGCCTTCGTCCGTTGATCCGTCTTCAAAGTAGACTTTCACACCCCCTTGATCTTTCAAGTCATAATGACAAAAACTTTTCCCATACTGGACATCGAGCCGTTCCGCCAATAAAACGCGCAGCTTCCGGATGTTGATCTCTCTCGCTTTGGGAATCGGGAACGCAAACGCTTCTTCCCGGGTCTGGCCGTTGTAAATCACAATGCGATCTTCTCCTATCGCTGCGCAGTCCACGTATGGATCCACTTGACACGAGTTGATCTGCGCGCTAAGGTCATCGGGTATGAGGTCGAATAGATATGGTCGTGCCCAGCCAAGGGTAAATGCCCAATGACGGTGTCGGTAAACATCTGCGCCCTTGTCGTATATGGTGAATGGCACCCGGGCTTTTTTCAGACCATGTGCAAGTGCACATCCGGCCGGTCCTTGAACCATGTAAGCAGAGATTGGGCGGTAAGATCATAGTGGTCCTGTACCTGCTCCGATGATGATCACTTTCATCGCTGAGTCGATGCTACCCATTGCACCCGGTATCAAGCGGCGCACAGGGACTTACTCGTGTACACTGGGAGGCTGCACTTGAGAATGCAGTATGACAGGATGAGGGGTGCTATTTTGAAAACTTGTTACCACAAAGCTATGCGGCATGAAACATCCGCGTAGCTATGGTTTCTTATACATAGCGGAGCATGGCGTTGGAGCCGGACCCCTAGTATGCTAGTGCTTGTTTATGTTGATGCAACGGAGCGGGAGCGGCGTTCGAGGGGCGCCAATGGACCGGTTCTCCTCTTCTCCATTGCCGCATGCCGAACATAGCACCATCGGAGAATATTAGTATCTGAATGCTATACTTGCGGATATTTGGTACAGGGCTGAGTTTGTTTTAGAATGGTAGCACGTTTTGACTCCCGTCACTTTGAACTATTTTTGTACGAGTCGAAAAACAATTTCGATTTAACCAAGACAAGGAAAAAAAAAGCCAGCAGGCTATTCATCCCATGTCCTCGTCAATATTCATGCTCACAGCATGGCATACACCGGCTCTAACAATTTCTCGCACAATTTCAACCTCATCCTCGTTTCTCGGTGCGTACACCATGATCCAGCTCGGCGGCGCTATCCATGTCACAGGGAAACGCTGGCCCCAGCCTCGTTTCATGACCAGCTTTGCATCTCGAGGACTAACATAAACGTGTAGCGAGTTTTCTGCAGGGTGGACATGGGCGATTTCATAGAAGATCTTGTGTGCGACAGGATTGATGGTCTTGACACCTTCTTTTACGTAAATAGCAGCACCAGTACCACCCTCCGTTTTGCTTGGTCGGGTCTCAACGTATTCATTGTAGGGAGCAGTACTGGCAAATTCTTGCATCAGATTATGAAGTGCAGCGGATGCGCCTGCTGTGATGTTCTCGGAGACTTGGCGCTGAGGAAGCGTCCAGCGCGTAAGTCCCGGCCGGGGCCCTGATCTGTTTGGGACCTTTTCCAGATTGATGTATGATTCTCCCGAATCAGGAATTGGCGATGGATCCAAAAGATTCTGCCGCGAATAGAGCAGATAGAGTCCCCATCGCCGGATCTTGAGATAGCCTGGCAGTGTTGGTGGCGTGCCACCGGTGCCTGTCAACTGTCAGTTGCCAGCTTTTGCGTGGAACGAGATGCCGTCACCGAGACTCTTCCAGCTCTTGAAGTCGTACCAAAAGGCCAATCCGGCTGCTGTGATGCCAGCAAGAAGATATCGAGCCGCCATGATCAGGACGAGTAAACAAGCGTGCCGTGGGGTAAGCTGAATGCTATCTGCGGGCGCAAAGGGCGTAACGCCTGTATAATGGCTTTGGCGGCTGGCATAGCAATCCCTCCCGATCAGGGAGGTGACCCGGTTGAAGGATTCTTGGAAGCTTGAGGTGTGGAAGAGAGTGGGGGAACGCAGCGCCGGAAGCCTAACGGGAGGGCTAATGCGGGTAGACGTCGGGTCCCCTCAGATGGAATCCAATGGCCCGTTGCTGGTCCCCACTCGCAACACCTCCCGCACGTCATCAGCCAGCATGCCACGATACACACGCGATTATTGCACGTTTTGAAGAAGGGGAAAAACCCCCTGTGGCCATGCTGGATCATCACGTTGTTGCGCCAGTGTTGCACTCCAACATTGACGCCACAAAATTGCAAAAGAACATCTTCACGCTCGAGATCAGCATCTGCCGTTTCAAACGTTTCTATTTCCACCTCAGCCATGAAACACTTGCCAAAAGGCGCCTTAAGTTGAAGGCCATCCGCAGTCTGTGACGGGCCAACCGCACCGAAAAGAAGTGCTGGATAAACACATGGTACTTTGCCAACGCTGCAGCGCCGACAAGCATCGACTGCCCCCGGTCACTGAGCCGCATTCACCTGTCCAATCGAAATTCCAACCACCAACGATACCTCCCAAGTCTCCGCAGCGCCAGAGAATCCGGGAACGCAGTCAAGAACTGCAGAGGCCAGAGTTTCGCCTGAATCCCACTCCGCTGCGAGCACATTCATCCCCACCTCCGCAAACACCCCTTCCGCAAGTACCCTCAATCCCGGCCCACCACCGAAAATTGTCGTATCAGTTTCTACCTTCTGTAGAATTGTATCGGCCACGAGATAAACCCCGAGAACTGAGCGTACCGCGAGGACGGCCATCATCCCGATTCCGAACAGTCTCGCAAGCAGCATCAACCTCCACCACATCAATAGCATCCTCGTCCTCTTCAGTCTACTCGACGCAATCCTCGCTCTCCCAGATAAAACCCCCGTCAGAAAAACCCGCCCAGTCCAACCGCTCAACCATAATGTCGATCCCACCCGCCCTCCAACAGCAACTGCGCCTCCTGATCCGCGCAAACCACATCCTCCACCACCACGGCCTCGTCGACGCCTTCGGCCACATCTCAGTCCGCCACCCCCTAAACAAAGACCAATACATCCTCGCCGCCTACGACCCCGGCGCCCCCGCCCTGGTAAAAAACGTCAGCGACTTCAATTCCTACTGGGTCCGCGACTCGTCCCCCGTCGACAAAGACGCGCCCCAAGGCTACAGCGAGCGCTTCATCCACGGCGAGATACTCCGCAAGTTCCCCAAAGCCAATTGCGTCGTGCACTCGCATTCCGAAGACGTAATCCCTTTTACCATTGCCCACGGCGCTGCGCATCCGCACCCCGTGCGTCCCGTGTTCCACATGGCTGGGTTCCTCGGCCAAAGCGGAGCTTCGGTATTCAGCATGGACCGAGTGTACGGTACCTTGCGGATACGGGCGGAGCGCGACTTGCTGATTAAGAATGCCGAGTTGGGAGAAGCCCTGGCCGCGCAGCTGCGCATGGAGAGTCCCGTCGTGCTGCAGCACAAACACGGCTTTACCACGTTTGGCACCACCATCGAAGAAGCCGTCTATCGTGCCATTTATACCCAGAAGAACTGTGTCTTGCTGCAGCGCGCCATTGCCATTGCCGGCGGCGATCCCGACGCCGTGCAGTATCTGTCGCACGACGAAATCAAGGATTGTGCCGTCATGAATACAAAGACGCTGGATAAGTCGTTTCGCCTGTGGCTGCGTGAAGTCCAGGTCAATCAGCTGTATCAGAATGATGAAGGGGAGCCAGAGAAAGGAAAAGTGGCAGGCATGAAGATGTAGAAGTAAGCTGATAAAACAATGTATTTACATTTTAATGTTGTTAGTCGTCATTTTTTTGTCCTTTTCTTTTTTTTTCCCTTAAAATAATGATATGTGCATGATGACTATTGCTTAAATTCAATGCCGGGGGATATCACTGGCACTCGCTGATGGGTCCAAAGTACCACAAGTGCGCGTTGACGTCAAATCCCAAGTCTCCCTCGTTTCCGGCCAGATTCAATAAGCCAGTGAGCACGTTAATGTCTCCAGTGCCAGGCTGCACGCCGTTTCCAGTGGTAATGTAGTACTCGGGCGAGACGTTGAGGTAGCCCAGGGCCGCAGGAGGGAGCTTGGGTACAGGGTCAGACTTGTGGGTAACACGGTAGTTTGCGCCCATGTTCGTCTGGCTGAGATAACTGCTAATACCCTCGAGACCGATCTTGGGAGCACCATAGGTGTAAAGGTCGACGGCAATGCCTTGGGAGCGGAGCACTCCAGCGCCCAGGTCGGCTAGCGCACCACCTAGCGAGTGGCCGGTTGCAACCACTTTGAAGGTTGGGTATTGCTGCATTGCCTCTTGGATGGCAGCAACTACAGTGGTCTGTGCCTCCAGCCAGCTCTGCCAGAAGCCAATGGACGCTTCGCATGTAGGGCAGATGGTGGTATTCATGACAGGGAATACGGCGTCGGTGAGAAAGTTTTGCACACTTCTTGATCCTCGGAAGGACAGAACAATGAGATTGTTGGTCGTGTCAGTTGCAACAAAGCCGGTAACATCCGTCTCGGGGCTGTTCTCGAACTCGGTGACGGTGTTGGTGTTTGCTGCCTCGACGAGAGGGCAGTTACCCTGAGGACAGACAACCTTGGTGTCTGAGCTGTTGTTGTTTATGGTGCAGTATGCGGCAGCTGAGTACTGGGAGAAGAATTGGAGCTGACTCAGGACGTCTGCCGATACGGCTGGGGAGAGTCAGCTGAAGTCTCAGTCACTGTGCATCAGAATATACATACCTCTCTTCTCAATCTCAACTGGTGCAGCAGTAACGGAGTAAACCGCACTGAGCAGGAGGGTAGCGATTCCGAGCATTGTAAAAAGACTATGAATGCTTTTACGTGATCTTGTTGCAAAGATGATCAATTGGCCGGACAGCAGCAACACAATGTAACTTGAGCGGATCAAGAGGACTGGGACGAGGAGAAAACTGTGCGCAGCGCCTGGATTATTCAAACAGTGAGAATACATGCATTCTATATACGAAATCTCGAGTCCCTTAGACCCAATTCTGCTAAGTGGTACTGACGGCAAGTGGATAGCCGTGATGGTGTACGACCCCGGTCAGTGATCGGCATCTGTCAAGACCACACCACGCGAGCTGGGGTCGAGTAGCGCCTGTCAGGGATACAGGCAGGCAGACTTTACTAAGATTAGACGTTTCGCCGTTGCTGGCTAGCCGCTGGAGAACCTCGTGCCAGGTACGCCAGGGGCCACCATGTTAGTGCCATACTCAGCCTGGTGACCGTCTTTGTACCAAAACGGAAGGCCATGTATGCAAGCTCAAGTTCTGGGTAGAACGCTGGTAAGATTCGGGTTTCGAGGCCATACCTAATCTCCACACAGTGACCTGGCCACGCCATCGAGCCTAGAGTCAGTGACATGTCTCGACACATCACTGGTGGTTTTTTTTCCTGCGCGAATATTGTCTGCATAATACAGCACGCCGAACGCATGAACGGATATAAGCATTGTGTAGCTCTCGGCGTGAACGACAGTTTTGGGCTACTATCTGTTTCTAAGAAATCCAAGTGTCCAATAAGTCAACAGGTCAAGAATCAGCATTCGTGGACAAAAGCTCGACCTAGTCCGTACCCAGGTTTGCGAGTTCGCAGGGTGAAGAGTCCGGACGAATTGTTCTTTTCTGAAACGCAGAGCAAAGAAAAAAAAACCCCTCTTGATAAAGTGTTATAGCAGGATAAGGCTAGGCTCTGCATCGCATGGTGTTTCACACTCAGTTTACTGTGTATGCACGAAAACATTGTGGCGGTGTAAAAAGGCCATCTGTATCGGGGGCCACAAGAAGTTCGCTTGTATTTTCCCATTTCCCCAAACACATGGACGATGCGGGGTAATTAGTGGTGACATAGCGCGCGTACGTAGATAATAACCAAAAGTCTCAACACCACCGCAATCAAAACAGTCCGAAGCGTGCACTAATAGGCACAAGAGGTTACCGGATTGGTGTAGGCTGAAATAGACGACGTTCGGTATCACTTCTTGTTGTGGTTAGTGTTTCGGGACTTTCGCGGGGTATCCAGCGACGCCTGACAAACTGTGGCTCATGCATCCACAAACAGGAACATGCCACATTGTTCCAATAAGGCGTAAGGTACCCGGAGTCAGCTGTCAACGGACATGTACAACAAAGCGGAAACAGTTGGTAACTATCTTGGTAGTAGCGATTTCAATTCATGTATTTACTGCCGCCATAGATCGAAGCTAGTCGCTAAAGGTACCATTCTCCGTTCTCCTCGAGTCGTGAAGTGTGGGGGAAAACGGTCAACGTGGAAAAAGAAAACCTGAATACTCGTGCAAATTACCGTAGGGTGGAGACGGCAAGTCGTCGGCGAAAAACAAAACCACCGCTCTGTGGTGCCTGAGCGTCGCGAATGTGGCCTCGGTTGCTTGCATGCGGCCCTTTGTGCCGTTGGATGCGCGGACTTACTGCGGAGGTACGAAGGGGTTCACGAGCATTTCGCTGAATCTGGAATTCCGTTTAGTATGACAGTTCTCAAGTCAGCGCGTTAATACCCACTTCTCAAGTTTTTCTTTGCCTCGCACCTCCTCAACCAACAATGGCATCTTGACCACGTTGAACTCATCATACAGTTCTTCGATCTGGTCAAGGTACTTCTTTTGCATTTTCCGCCGCGCGTTGCATTGCTCGCAGGGGTTGCTTTGCTTGGGGAACAGCAGCTGGTTGACGACAATCGAGTGTGTATCGATCTCGTAGCTGTTGAGTTCTTGAATCATGCGCTCCGTCTCGTACAGACTAAGGAACTCGGGAATGCAGACACAGACAAATGTTGTAAGGTCGGCGTCCTTGAATTGGCCGTTGACCTCGCCTATCGTCTCACGCAACGCCTCCATTTTCTGAATCAACTCGTCCATGTTCTGTCCGTTTGGTAGTCTACCAGACGAGCCGAGGAAGGAGTTCAGCATGGGCCCAAACTGGCGGGAGAGCTGGGAGACCTTGGAAAGGGCCTTCTCCATGACAGTGGGGAACTGGAGGAAGCGGAGCGTGTGTCCGGTAGGTGCCGTGTCGAAAATGATGACTTCGTACGACATGGACTTGACCTGCTTCAACACTTCGGCAAACGACATGGCTTCGTCTACACCAGGTATCTGTCCGTAGCAATCAGTATCCCTATCTCGCTTTACTTGGCCGCGGCTTGAGGGCTTGGTACGGTGCACATACGCTGAATGCTAAGTCCTGCATCATACTGCCCATTCCGCCTAGGCCAGCCATAGGATCCTGACCCTCTTCTGCTCCACTTGCCAACAGATCCTGTATACTGCCGTTGGGATCAATCTCCATGGCGCTGAGGTTATCGAAGCCATTGATGAGTCGCGCGTCCTTGCCAAACTTTTGGTTGAAGGCATCCGATAGATTGTGGGCGGGGTCGGTGGAAATGAGGAGGACTGATCTGCGGTGCTTTGCGAGTTGGATGGCGAGTGAACACGATGTCGTCGTCTTTCCTACACCACCTTTTCCACCAACGAATATCCACCGAAGTGTCTTCTGGTCGAGGATAGATTGGAGTGTCGGCGCCATGTCGGCATCAACGAGGGCGGTCGAGGCCATGGTCGCGATACAAGTCGAGCGGGCGCGCTGAGATATGGGATCGAGGGGTGTGGATGGCGTCGAGGTGTGGCGTGAAGTGGAGTGAAGTGGGTGGAGGGGGAGTCTGCTGTGAAGGCGGTCGATGCCACTGAGCAAAAGACCGGGATACAACAGAACGTTCTCGAAGCACTGCACAACGCACGTAGTACTTACACGGACTACCAGCAGCAGCAGCAGCAGCAGCGGCAAAGCAGTGCAAATGTCGACGTCGTTGTTGGTTTATGCTCAAAAGCTCAAAAGCCAAAAAGCCAAGAGAGCCAAGTCACCGTGACAAGGTGCGTCACCCCGCAGCCACCGCCGCCCTCGTGCGCTTCGCTACGCTCTCCGACGCGCCAATCACGTATCCCTTCACGTCAAGACCTTGTCCTTGCAAACCTCTTAATATACTCTCGATACTATTACACATGCAGAATGCCAAGTGCACAACACCGGACATCGCCTTGCAACATCTAGTAAACTCAACATGCCATCCTCCTGCTGGCCATGCCTAGTATGGTGAAGAAAAATAAAAAAAACATCCGCTGTAATCCGGCTGCACATGCGCCAAAAACACCATATCATGCCTGCTTCCCATATCGAGCCCTTGTGATGCTCTATTTCTTCTTGCCCTTGCCTTTGCCCTTTCCTTTGGTTGATGATCCCTTGGTTGATGATCCCTTGGTTGATGATCCCTTGGTTGATGATCCCTTGGTCGCCGATCCATTCGTCGCTACACTGCTTGCTCGAGACGGCGTTGCCGAGGCGGGAGAAGCCTTGCTCTTTACAGTGTCCAGTTGCTTATTCTGTTCCATGTTAGCAGTGCTATTGGGGCAAGCAGACGGCCCGTCGTCTCAACGTACCTTGACGCCGTTCTTGGTCTTCTTCTTTGGTTGCTCTTCCTCCTCTTCCTCCGTCTCCTCCTCCTCGTATCCCCGCTTGCCATTCTTGTTCTTGGCATCCCCGTCACCGAGCTCGCGCACAATGGCTGAGATGAGCGTAGTACAACGACGACCAATCTCCTGTGGCGTACGGCTCAGGAAGAACCAATCGAAGCGGAACAATGGCGACTCCCGAATCTCGTCGCGGATCTTCTCGTAGATAAAGTCGCCCTCAACACCATGCTTGTGCAGCATAACTACAAGGAACTTGTCTTCATCTTCCGTGTACACCTTCTTGTTCGTTGTCGATACCGTGTACTTGATCTGCATCTGCTGGAGGGGCATGCGGTACATACCAACCTTCTTTGCGATCAACCGCTTCTTCTCCTCTGATTGTCGTACGCGTTGCTCGCCCTCCTCAATTACACCCAAATGCTTCTGCCAGTTGTCTAGCGTCTTGTACTTTTTCCAGAACACCTTGGCGTATGCTTCAATTTCCTCAGCAGTCTTGCCGTCAACTTCTTCCGAGATGCCCTCGTAATTCTGACGGCCATACTTGGCACTACCGTTGAGGAATTGCTGGAAGTCACGCTTATTCCACTCGGGGAAGCCCTTTTCAATCAGTCGCTCTTTCTCCGCCTTTTCCTCTTCTGTCAATGGCTCGGCGTTGTCAATCTCTTGTTGTGCAAGCTGTTGGTCAGCCTCACGAGCCTCGAGGTCCTCGTCGGAACCCTCAGGAAGAGGCGCTTTGAGATTGTTCTCCTTCCGATACCATGCTGTTTCCTTGTCTTGGAGTTCCGCGAGGCGGTCTGGGAAGAACTGGTAATCGTGAATGACAATCTGCTTTGGTGCACGAGGTATCCTGGGTTGCTTGTTCTCTGTTCGGCCGCCAGTGACAAGAGCTTTTCGATAGTATGAATCGATACCGTAGTTTTGTTCCTTGCGCTCACGCTTTGATGGATTGATCCAGGAGATTCCAATTTCCTTCTTGCGGGGCTGGAATGTCTCGCCATTCCATTCGTAGGTTGAGTCGGATGTGAATTTTTGAAGGTCATCAAGACCAAGGGCCTCGTACCTCTTGTTAAGCTTCTCAGTCATCTCCTCACCACGGCGCATGACGGCGTCGAATTCATCATCTCCGAGTTCGCCGCTAGCAGCCGATCCAACAGGACCCTTGCTCTGGAACACTGCCTCTGCGCCGTGCTGGATCATGGTCAAGAGCTCGTCTTTGGAGGCTGCATTCTTCACAGGCTGTTGGGTGCGACCCTGCTGGATGACTAGTTGATCCAGACGGAGTTTTTGTGCCGCGCGCTCGAGCACCTTTTCTTCAATGGCCATCTCGGTGACGAATCGGAACACATATACCTGCTTGGTCTGGCCGATACGATGAGCGCGGTCCATGGCTTGAAGATCGGCCTGTGGGTTCCAGTCACTATCAAAGAGAACGACGATGTCGGCAGTAGTCAAGTTGATACCCAAGCCACCAGCACGCGTGGTCAGGAGGAAGAGGAACTTGTCCGAGCCTTCCTTGTTGTAGTCGTCAATCGCTTGGATACGGTCCTCGTGTGCGGTTGAACCGTCGATACGGCAGTACTTGTAATCGCGCATGACGGAGTAATCTTCCATGATATCCAACACACGACTCATCTGAGAGAAGATGAGTACACGACTGCCTTGGGCCTTCATGCGCTTTAAGAGCTTGTCGAGCATCACCATCTTGGCTGAGTTGGTAACCAAATGCTCGTCGGTAGTATATGGAGGACCGGGCTCGGCGCCTTCGAAGAGGTAAGGGTGGTTGCAGCACTTTCGCAGCTGCATGACAATGTTGAGAAGGCGGGTCTTGGACTCCTTGTTTCCAGCGCCGCCATTGACTGCATCAATGTCCTTTTCAAGAATCTTCTTGTACCACTGGACTTGCATGTCCGACATGCCTACGTAGAGATTGATTTCCTTTTTGGGCAGCAGTGACTTTTCGACATCGGCCTTGACACGGCGGAGCAAAAAGGGGCGAAGAACCTTGTGTAGCTGTTGGACGACTGCATCGGAGTCCTCATTCTGCTGTGAAAACCAGTCGTCAAAGGCAGCTGAGTCACCAAACACATCTGGGAGAAGGAAGTTGAGCAAAGCCCAAAGTTCGTGGAGGTTGTTCTGAAGAGGGGTACCGGTAATAAGCAGCCGGCTTCGCGAGTTGAACATGCGAACCATCTGTGCCAGTGACGACTCCTCATTCTTGATACGATGCGCCTCATCAATAATGATGTACTCCCATGCAAACTTTTTCAAGTGTGACTTCTCGCGCAAGATCATTTCGTAGGATGTGATACACACGTCAAAGCCATCAGGGACAAGGCGGTCCTTGATGAGTTCGGCACGGTCATCCTTGCTACCCTGTAGCACCAAGACATTGATTTCGGGGCACCATTTGGCAAACTCGCGCTTCCAGTTGTCCAGGGTCGATTTGGGCACTGCGACCAGGTGGGGTCCAGTAATGCCGGCGATATAGCGGAGGTAGCCGACGAAGGAAATGGTCTGCAATGTCTTTCCCAAACCCATCTCATCAGCCAGGATACCCGAAATACCATTTTCGTGCAACGAAATCAGCCAGTTCAGACCAGCGATCTGGTAGTCGCGCATTGTGCCGCCCTGAATGTAGCCTGGTGACTCACGGAAAACCGTCTCGTTGTGACCGCCATGCTTTTCCTCGCGCACCAGCTCGGCGTCTTCCTCTTGCTCAGTCTTGCGCCGACGCTCGGCGGCAGCGCCGCCTTTGCGAATCTTGTTGGCCTTTGACTTGCTGCTCTCTTCGGCGTCCTGACGGTCGATCTCGGCGAGAATCTCCTTGATGCGCGGGTTGGGGTTGGTATCGATGAAGTGGCGGAACAGGTCAGTGAGACCAAGGAGGTATCGAAAGCGGCGAATGGTGTCGTCTTCCTACAATAATTTTCCCGAGTCAGTCAAGGCCCCTTTGGGACGCGATTGGCCGTTTGATGCTGCGTACCATTGATGCCCTCAGGCCCTCAGCCTTCTTGCCGTACATGGACTTGCGCATGTTCATCTCTTCGGCGCGTCGCTTTCTGCCATCAGGGGGCGCGCTGTCGCCTGCGACACTGTTTCCCCTTGTGTTTGTGTCGGAGTCCTATAGGGTTGTCAGTTTGTGGACAAAACTCAGACGGTGCGGCAGGCAATTGGTGCGTACTGTGTAGTCTGGGGTATCTAGATTGTACTGCCATGACAACGTCAGCGAATGTTCAACATGCAACGAGGTCACCTTTTACGGCGCAGGAAGGCGCCAGGCCAGGTAGCGCTTACTCCGAACTTCTTGAAGCCGCTCATCTTGTCTTCCTGCTGGTCTTGCATGTCGACATCGGAATGCGCCGACACGTCTTCAGAAGATGGCTCTTCGGCCTTTGCAGCGCTCTTCCGCGGCATATTGCCTGTTTGGGCTGTTCGCCGCGTCGATTTAAAGCCGTCTTGCTGTCGCTGTCGTTCAGTATCTGTGGTGCGGTGTATGGCGACTGAGCGGGGTCGTGGGGGGATGCAAGGGACGCGTTGAGAGCGTGTTGGTGCGGAGAGGTGAATGCGCAGTATACAGCCAGAGCCATGGGAGAATAATGTCGATGGTCCTTGGCGCGTCTGGACATGTGGCGCTAGTACGCTTGCGGCAATACCCACTACCCCAGCCAGGTACCACTGACGCCAATTGCCTCCCATTCGCCTACCGCCCTTACTCCTACGCGCCTCAAGGACCCGCGTACGATATTCATCAATCTTTGCGACACGTCAGATACAATCCATCCATGAATCGACGCGTCAGGAGAACGCGACTGTAAAAAATGACGTCACTCAAATCACGTTGAGCAACGATTTGGGTGGATTGGATTACAGATTTATCAATGCACATGGTATCGGCTTGTGTCTAGTCATTAGGAATTGGCTGCACACATTGCAATCGACCAGGTTTGGTGAGATTCATGCGTAGAAGGGGGGATTGAAACTTCTCGATTTTTCCGTATTAAAACACTCCGATATCAAAAGCGATAGTATGCTCTGCCAAATGTACAAAGATATTTGGGATGGAGCTCAACACTTGTTCCCCTTCGAGGCTCTTGCCAACCGATTCTTCTTCTAGTTTATCTTCTATTCCCCAAACACAGCACGTCTTTCCCGTACGATAGACACAGCTGATTACCTGCCCTCAATCACATTCCAATCATCCACACAAAGCTTGCAAACCTTCAAAATCCAAGAAACCCCTTTCCATGTCTCACCAGCAGTTTGAGAGGCATACAGGATGATACTGGAATTCATAACGTAGGGTACTTCCTCCTACCTTTATTACAGCAGCTTGATATCGATTAGTTGCCCGGTTTTGAAAACGTGCATTAATTCCCATGGTTTCTTTTCCCCTCTCTTTTCTTCGAAAAGTTTCATGCGGTGAAGGTCTTTGCTTCTGGGTTTACCGCTTCACAGGGGGCCAACATGCTTTTTCGAGGGCCACTTATGCTCTCAACGTCGGACCATTAAAATTGCTGGGCGGAAAAGGGTGCTTAAGAAAGTTGTAGTAGGGTGTGGCGGGAGGAATCTTGAGGATACGATACTTTTGGCAAGGGGAGCGTCTAGGAAATGCGCATTTGAAACATTTTGGATGAGGAAGAAATGGAGAAGAAAGAATAGTGGCTGGCATTCTGAATAAGTTTCTTTTTCCACTGCAACACATCAAGGGAAAAGCATTAAGCCCCTTAGAACAACTCAGCATCAACTGAAGGTATATAAGCATGCTTCGGTCGAAAATTCCACCAAAGATACATGTGATACAAGCTACGAGGCTTCTTGCAAAATACTCGCTCCCAATCCTCCGTTACCAAAACAATCTTTTTTTACTTCACCTATCCTTCAAACCCAGCAATATGCGTGCTTCCGTTTCCCTATTAACTACTTTTCTTCTTTTATGCGGCATCGCAAATGCTCAGTCCAGCCCGACACCGACCCCCGTCCTTGAACCAATCCGGCAACTCCATGAGAAACCATGTTTGGGTGCTGTTACGCGACCTTGGAAAAACTACATTGTAACCTCTTTGGGGTGGAATCCAGAATCGCTCAGTCCCGAAACCATCACTGCTCACCAAGACAGTATCCTTGTGGTCGATTCCTGGAAAATGAAAAATTGTGCCAGATTTTTAGTATTCGTTGACTCGCGAAAAGCCGCAACAACGGAAAGGTCGGGCATTCCAAGTGACGAGGATTGCGGAGATTCAGATGGTTGTACGAGAACTGGTGACTACATGGAGGCGTATATTACCCTGCCTAAAGGTAAGTTACACAGGAAATTCCATTTGATCGTGCGTCCAGGCCGATCAATGTGGTAAATACTTACTGTCACGGCTAAAATCACTTGTAGGAAAATATTTGGTTGACATTAGGTATGCGCCAAAGGGAAATTGTGGAAGTGTCTCCATAGCGTACCCAAAGATGCAGTTGCACAACCAGTGTAAGAAGGAAAAGGCCTGAGCGATGGAGGGACAGACTAGGGAGGAGGAAGAGGAGAGAAAAGTGCATCCATACATATGTAGAGTGCCAATAGTCGACACAAAAGCGGTGTGATGTAAGACCTTATTGAAAATCAAACAGGATTGAGCCTTACCAACATGATTATCGTGAACACAAACGCGACTACACTTCGATGCCCTTGTATCATCCAATAACACACAATCCCAAAATTTCCCTCCATGCATTCCGTATCTTTCCTGCTTCTTTTATAAGACTATTCTATGCTTGAGCGTTTACTTCTTTATGTAGCTCTGTCTGCTTTCCCCAAAACTAGAGTTACATTTTCCGTGTTAGTCCATCACTCTAAACACTAAAGTCCTTTTTACCTGACACGTTGATGTCATGTATGAGCGCATACCGCTTCTTGCAGCAAAATCCCCGCTAAGATCTCCAGTGCACTGTCTATATATGAATAGTAATTAGTTCGGAAGAGTCCGGTATGAGACCAAAGTGCATATCGTAAGTTTGGCTGTACTGCACTGTCTATGGAGCACTGGCATCGCTTGATGCCTATCATTGATAATGCGCTATAGTTTTCCTACTTTTTGTGGACTTATACAATGTATGTTTTTGCTTTTGTGTATACCGGCTCATGGTGGCCTGTGACATTTTCTTTGGGCAACTGATTCTGTGACTGATAGTTTTTGGCATGTCTGGATATACAAGAGTCCATGAGAGAGATTAGAAAATATTTAGCGGAAGAACACACATGATAAACCATGTAGATATAGCATCTTCCAGTAATGTTCGTAGTAAATGTTCCGAATGGAAAATGTTTGCACACCGCATCCTTACTCCCGCAATACCGTGCTCTCAACAAAGTTACTTTTTAAGCCATATCACGGTATGACCAAACTATTAGGCTAGTTAGGACCATACTACATACCTTTTCCAAAAAAAAAAACATGAGACAGCATTGAATATTGAAGGAAATGCAAAAGGTATATAACTCAAAGGTTGGCTGCACAAGATTTGCCATCATCATCAACTACAGCCTTCATCAGTTCCTTCAAACAACTCCAACATCAACTCTTCTCCACAAAAGCATCATCATGCGCACTTCAACCTCCCTCACAACCTTCCTTCTCTGCGGACTCGCAACTGCCCAATTCGGCACCGATCCGCTTCTCGGCAGCATGTCCGGAATGACCTGCTCAAACGGCGAGTCAACCCCCCCCCCCCCACCCCTGCTCTCTGGCCAAAAAAACCCCCCTCACAGCTAACACCATCTCGTAGGCCAAGTCCCAACAGTAGTCTGCGCGGATCCCGTCCCCGAAATGTGTGGCTGCACATGCAGCGATGGCGCAACGTTCAGCCACGAGCGACCTTCGCACCTGGGACCCCCGGCACCACCCCCACCCGTCGTCGAGCCAATCCGCCAGCTCACAGGAAAACCATGCACGGGAGAAGTCCTCAAGCCCTGGGCGGAAATCCGAATCCCTCGTACCCCGAACTCGGGCGCAGATTCACAGATAGCAAACGTACCATTCGAGGCACCAGAAGACGGCGTCCTCGTGGTATCGGATGCACATGGCCGCTGCGAGCACTTTGAGGTATACGTTGATGATAGGTTGGTAGGAGAGACTTCTGGAACTGGGCCTCTGGACTTCTCGGCATGCGGACTTCCAGACGAATGTATGGAGAAAAACGGGGGTCAGCATGGGTACTTTGCTCTTCCCAAAGGTAAGCCAGACAATGCCGTCCCAATAGCTTGTTTTGGGAAGATTCCTTCAGTTGATGAGTCTTTTGGTGCTAACACACCGTGTAGGTAATTACAAGCTTGGTTTCAAGTGGACCAAGGTTACACCTGCATGTGATAGAGCTCCGAATGGAGGGGCGAATTATCAATTCCGCCGTAAATGTTAGTGACAAAGACGAGATGATCGAAAGGACGCGTCGGAAGTAGAAGGGTGAGATGAGAAAGTACTGTTATACGGACGTAGAGTTTGAGTAGTGGGTATAATGGCAGCAGTTAGTCATGGAGATAGTCAATTCAAGCACACTGATTTACTAAGAAAATGATATAATGTTTTCTGCCCCTTTTAAATAAAACACATAACCACGCTTACCTCCTCAACGGACTCCTAAAACCTACACTCCCAAACTGACTACCCCCCTTCTTCGGCGTAGTCAACGGCTCAGGCACCTCACCACCCACAGCACCACCACCAGTACCACCACCACCACCACCAGTAGTAGGCGGATTCCTACCACCCACGGCCTTCCCGCCACTCCCCGGAGCCTTAAATCCCACAAGACTACCTTTGGCATAAACATCATTAAGGATCTGCTCCAGGACACCCGCGTCATCGAATTCCTGCCACTTGCGCCAGAGCTTGAGAGCCGTGGTCGCATCTTCAATCGAATCGTGCGTATTCTCCTGAATACTTTCTTTGAGGACGCACCAGGCGAGGAATTTGAGGTTGAGTTTGCGTTTGAAATCTGGCTTGAACCAGAGGTTGCTTGTGTCGACAACTTGGTTCTTCGGGACGTGGATGTTGATGGTGCGGAAGTCGTTGGCGAGCGAGTGGCCGACGAAGACGCAGCCGAGGTTGAGTAGGAGCCAGAGTTTCTTGTATGCGTGCTTTAGTGACACCGGTGCGTAGGGTGAGGTTTCGCGGTTGAGGTCACCCGGGGAAATGCCGGACCATTCGGTGAGATAGTCGACGACTTGCTCCGTCACGGCGATGTAGTCGTCAATAAAGGGAAGGCCTGCATGCTCGCCTTCACCACGACAAACAGAAACGCGAGCAAGCCCTTTGCGGTCAGGACGAATAGTTTGTCTTGTGCCATCGGCCTTCATCTCAATCTCCTCGGCTTGAAGGCGGATGAACTCGGCATCGATGGCAACGGGATAGCCCGGACGAGGTGCTTCTGTCGCGTGATCAAGAAGTTTGAACTTGGTCTCTGGAGGTGTTGGGTTTGATGACCACCATCTGTACAGTATCGACGTGTCCAGAGTGTCTTTCCACGAGTCGTCAATCTTGTTACGAGCAGACTTGAGTTGAAACGTCAAGACAGACGGCAGCTTCCAGCTTGGTTCGAACCGCAAAGCCTCTTCCTTTGGTATTGGCCGTACTAAGAAATCGTTGAAGAGATGCCATCTATCTTCTGGATCATCTTCCCGTGACGACGGTGCTGTATTGATGGTCGCCACCAAGTGTGGCTTTTGGTGCTCTCCACTGTTGATGTCGGCAACCACACCAACGAGCTCGTACACCATAATCTGATGGACTCCGCGTTGCAGGTGCAGCTTCAAGTCCTGGCCTTCAAAGCAGAAGAATTGGCCCTGATCTACTATGATTCCAATCTCTTGCGGCAACCAATTCGGTATCGACCACAACAGCTTAGCGTCGTGGCTCTGGATGGCCGCATTCAGCATGAGTACGCCAGGAACCGACTGTATAGTCTTCCTCTGTATCATTTGCTGGTAGCGATTGCATTTTGTACACCAGCCTCTAGTCTGATCTTGTCGTTCGACACTAGCCTTTAGGATCTGCGAGAATGTAGGACGTGGTATGCGCGTGTTCTTCATGACGTGCTTTGCCGGATACACGAGTTCATTGACAAAGTTCTTACCTCCACGAATGGTCTCGTTGGTGCATTGGGCACACCTCATGCTTGCCCTGGCCTGTGTTTCCAAGACTTGGTCCATGGCCGATGGGCCGGGCTGGCTGGGCAGCATTTGTCTAAACTCGTCTGATATCTTCTCAAGCAAGAATCGATTCAAGTTCTGAATCATGTTTGTGAGTGCTACATTTGGGGCGAATTCTTCGAGTAGATTCAGTGAGACTGCGTTTGAGAGTCCACTGAATGTCTTCAAAAAGTTGGAAGCTTGACAATTTAACCCTGATGCTTTTTCGAGCATGTCTATCAAGAAGCCTAACTCGCAAAGAAGACACGACTCGAAAAGACATGGCGACGCAGTATGCTGCAGCGCCAGATTGCGAATCAACGGTGTAAAGCGGAGGAGCTGCAAGAGTGAATTGGCGTAGGAGTTTGTAATGTGTGTTTCCAAGCCTGAGTAAGACGTTTGATTATAGTACCTGGATCCGAGTCAGACAAGGAACAAGTAAGCGTAGGTGTCATGACATACGCAAAGTCAAAGTCGTCTACGCCGAACTTGCTGTATTTGATCTCCACGTTTCCGTACATTGCAGGAACATCTCGTCGGGTGACGTCATCGAGGTGTAGGTCGGTCAGTTTCTCCATTGTCTCTGATGATTTCGAGTCGGTTTCCGACAAGGATTGCGAGGCGCGCGTCTTTTCGCTCAAAAACTTGGGCGCCGACAACGATTCGCTCACTTTGTCCGCATGTCGAGTCGCCTCGGCCTGGTTCCTACGCTTGGTTTTAGGATTTTTCGCAAAGAAACCAATTTCAGCACGCGTCATATTGTTGAGGATTGCGCTATCAATCTTGGGGGCAGGGGAGCCGACTTCGAATACCAGATGACTAGGCCAGCTCGAGAGAAGCTGTTCTTTGTAGTAGGGCATACCCACAGTATTCAACGGCCTGATGATTTGGTCAGTAGAGCCACTCACCCTACCGTTGAATCTACTTACGTGTCTGGATTCCAATCCATGGCTGGGGGCGGTGGGACATTATGGTCCGCAGTCTCTGTTGGGTTGCTGTATTCTGGAAAATGAACCTTGGACGGGGAACCCCATAGATGGATGTGGGAGTTGGAATCTGCCAGTGCAATAGCCTCGCCCGAGGGGGCCATCTCAAAGCCAGTTAGATAGGATTCATAAAGATTGAGCTGGCGAAGATTTGCCGAGTCTGGATTCATCAGGTCGATAACCTGCATCTGGCCGTTTTGCGATGCGATGAATGCCGTGGTCGACATGCGAGGATGCATCCGGACAAAGGCTGCGCCCGTGTGGAAAGGAATCGGGGGCAGTTGCTTCAGCGTCTTGAGCGAAAAGACGTTTGTAAAGGGATCGAGCATAAAGGCGAATTGCTGCCTAGGCGACCAGCCACATGTTGCGAGAAAATCCCCCTTTGCGTCCATGTCACTGATGCTGCTGGTGTGACCCTCGAAAACCTTGATGACGGATAGCGAGTTGGAATCGATAATGTGAATGCCGCCATTCTTGGTCGCAGCGCAGAGGTACTGGCCGGCGCGCTTCATGATTGTATACTGAGCTTCAGCTGGCAGCTGTATAGGTCAGCCGTGTGCATTTGTGGCATTGGAACCAAAAACGTACAGTATCCGTAATGACGCCCTTGTCCACGTCTACCTTGAACATGTGTTCCTGACATCCTGCGACGAGGATCTCGCGCGTGCCCTTGGAGGTAAAGTTCATGCATCTTAGATCTTTGAAGTCGGGGCTTCTATACGCTGGCGATTAGCTGCGGCCCATCATGGTGCTTGCATAAACATACGTCAGATGCCAATGTGTGAGGCCGCGCCGGTGGGAGTAGTGGACGCTTTGCTGGGAGACGGAGAGGATGCCCTTGTCAGTGAAGAGAAATTGCTTAACCGGGCCGTCGGGAGGCGCGTGTCCACGGTAAGAGGTATATCGTTCGAGGTGAGGTCCATAAAAGGACGTGACCCGTCCCTAGGCAGTGTCAGCTGCAATGCGCTCCAGGCTGGCCGAGTGTGAACATACTTACATGGTTGTTGCCTGTCCATAGCAATTCCTGGGTTGTGTCAAAAGCGAATGTGGATATAGGCACGGCAGGGAGATGGGGTCCTGGGGGCGGCAGTTGAACGATTGCTAGCTGTCGGGCTGTCTGTTAGTGGTGATGATGCGCTCCGACGGTTGAACAAACATGGTACCTCGTCCCAGTCCGCTTCCATGATGAATGTGCGTGTCGCAATGCAGTACGTCTACAAGACGGCTGCGACATGCCTTGGTCGGCTATGTTTACGGTCGCGTCGCGGGTGGTGCAGCATTAGGGCGTGGGGTGGAAGTGGCAGTTGGGGCTAAGAGACGCGAGTGCGAGGGTGCGTCGTCTTTAGTGGAAATGCGGGGCATCTACCTTTGGTACCCGCCAACGACACGACAGTATTTGGGCTCAATGACAAACGGAAACATCACCCGACATGACACGGATAAGAGAAAAATCATCAACAATTGATTAGGAAAGGGATTTGGCTCATAGGAACAGCCTGCAACTACATAACGGCTAAAGCAGATGTATGCACGTGCATGCGTGATACTCATGTACGCGGCATGCAAGAGGGAACATTGGGGTATGCCTTACCTGACACATGGACCTCTGTTTAGTACAGCAGATTTCGCAGTCGCTTGCGTCAGCTTCAAATATGGGGGGGTATCGAACGCCTATCGAGCGGATCGTGCTTAGTGACATGGCCCGACAGGTGAGATGTATTTGCCCAAGAATCATACCAGAAATATGCAGATGCCGGGAACGCCGTGTTGATGCAAGCGAGGACTCGTGGGGGGGTGACCATCATATAGGATAAAAGGGCTGCATCAAGTCAGCAAGGATCCTTCTTGAGCAAGGCTGAAGAGCATGGCGGCTCGACGAAGTGCGTTTTGCTATTTCCTGCCCGACGCGTCTAGGTCTGGTGTCGGCCAAAGGGCATTGTAAGCCAGGGATTCAGACATTTGATAGGCGTTGGAATGTACTATTACATACCGCAGAGAATCCAGCCAGCTGATGGGTAGCTTTCTCGAGAGCGCCTGCTTTAAGCAGGGTAGTCGTCGTCGTTGTCGGCATCGGCTTTGTGGTCGTAACGCTGACGCTTGTGGGTCTCGGTCATGCCCTTGCCAGAGCCTGTGAAGCCGACTACTGATTGTTAGCAAAGAGTGAGGTGTGGGGGAGTAAAGGGATACATGCCTCTGCTGCCAGCCTCGGTGCTGGTACGGAACATGGACTCCTTTTTGGCGACACCCTTCTTGGAGACTTTGTTCTGGAAGTCGGCCCAAGCCGATGCCCGTTTCTTCAGGGTTCCCTTTGTAGGGACTCGGCTGGGCTTCTTGTTGGCCATGTCTTCGTTGGCTCCGGTAGGCTTGGCGGCCACGGCATTGGGATTCGTCGTGGCAGGACCAGAGATGACGTGCGAAGAGGTGACGGGGGCCGAAGGAGTCGGGGTGGAGGCTGTCTCGGGTTCCCGCTTGCGCTTGGTTGGAAGAGGGCGGACGGCGGTGCGGTCGACAGTCATGGTGTCGTCGTACTCGATGAAGCGGACGAGGTACTTTGGTGCCGAGACGGAACCCAGGATACTCTGGATCTTTGCCTTGTACCAGGACCTGTCCGTCCACTGGGCCTCGCAGATGTCTCCGATGCTGAAGGCGACCGTCTTTTCGGGCTCGTGCTTCTCCATGGCCTTGCGCAGAACGGGATGCTTCTCGGGATCGAACTTGGGGCCTGCAGGCTCGGCAGCAGCCGGGGCCTGGGGCAATTGAGCCTCGAGGGCGGCCAGCTCTGGGCGGAGGCGGTCGAGTTTGGCGTCGTGGGCGGCAATGGTTTGGACCATCTCACTGCGCATGGATTTCATTTCCTCGTTGTCGCCAGTGTCCTTGAGCAGGGCGTCCATCTGGGCCAGCTGCTCGGCCCATTCTGCGCGCTGGGCCTCTTCCTGGGCAATCTCCTGCTTCTTCGCGTTGATGGCATTCTTGGTGTGCTTGAGCTGGTCGGCCATTTTGGGGGTCGGGGCGGGATGGAAGGATGGGGGGTCTGGGTGGGCAAGGCGGGGGTCGGGGTGTTGACGGTGTGGGCGTGGCGGGTGAGCAAGTCGCGTTGTGGCAGCATGGCGGCTGGAGGCAGGCACGGGTCTTGGCAGCGCCCCACCGTCTGTGAACCCTTGATTGTTCCCCAGCTCTCGCCCTCAGCCCTACCGCCGCTCTCCACCCGCCATCACTCGACACACGCTGCACGACATACAGGACACGAGCTACGTCGACGGCACGACGCATGTCAGTCAGCCGTCGGCTGCTGGTGGTTGGCTGCTGGCTGCATGGCAGAGCTCGCCAGGATGCCTTTCCGACACGCGACGGCGACGGCAGCAGCCAAGGACAGCGAGCGCCGGGGTCTCGTGCAGAGGACATGGCTGAAACGAGAGCCATGCTTTCGGGCGCCCAGGCAGTGCAAGTACTGTATCGTGTACTACTAGATAGAGTGCAGGGCGTGGTGCGATTGCAGACGGCAGTACTCTGTACATACATACTTACGCAGTAGTAGACGACACAGGCGGCGGTGCTGCTGCCGGCGCGTCGTGTTGGTGGTGTTCGAGGGCCTTCGGTGTGCATCCGCACCTGCTGCACCCCCACCACGCCGCATGCTTAGCAATCAGCCACGCGCCTCACACTCAGTGACGGACTGACGAATGCATTCACTGCGCCCTTTGCCCGTCCCCGACTCTCCGACTCTCCGACTGCATTCATTCATTCCACTTTCCCCTTCCCCTCGTTCCTCTTCCTCTCCCCCCACGTGCTTTGCTGCTTCTCCACCGCCGCCGCCGCCGCCGCCGCATCACAACCGCCGCCCGCCTGGCTCGGAAAAAAGTCGCACCAAGTCCAAGTGCTTCCATCAGCCAGGCCAAGGGTGTCGTCTCATCCCACGGCGCCCCGACTCTAGCCCTCCTCATCATCCTGTCTGCCTCTGGCCACCTTGCTTCCACCCACTGCCTGCCCTCCCTCCCCCTCTCCCTCTCCCTCTCCCTCTCCCTCTCCTCGCCAATATTCGTCCGCCCTCCGCACGGGACGCCCTGATATCGGCGCTTTGGCACCTGCTCAGCGGCCGTTTACCGGCAATCTACCCGCTTTTACCCACCCTGCTCACTGCTCTGTTCCACCCACACCTTTTGCGTCATTCTTATCCCTCACTCACTTGCATTTGCATCCTACCTGCTCCCCGTCCCGTGACGCCGCGCCGTGTCGCTTCAGGTGGCGACAATAGTCGCTCGTAGTCTGGCACTCACTCCCATCGACCCCGCCGAGTCTCCGCAGCTGCCCACCCGTCTTTCCACATTCACCCCAGCTTTCGCAATGGCCGGCACAGGCAACGACTTTCAGAATGGTGCGCCCTTCTACCTAGACGCCACGCAGCAAGACTTGCTCCTCGCTGCTCTCGCTTCCAATAACCAGAACCCCAACGACCTCTTCTCCACAGGCCTCCACAACGGCCACCACAGCAAGCAATCCATCGACGACGCCCAGTTCCAGTATCCCGTCGATGCCCTCGACCCCGCCTACTTCACCTCGCCTCAGCAATCCACAGCCGGCACTGGCTTCAGCAACGTCGGCATCGAAGAAAGCCCCTTCATCGACTACCTCGATGGCGACAACGGCTTCGACTTTGAAAATGCCGACGGCGACATGATTGGTGCCCTTCCTGGCGACACGCCCGCCGACTCGAGCGAGAAACGCAAGAGTCCTGGTGACGAAGAAGCCGAAGACGACGAGGGAGGCGGCAAGCGCAGAGAAGGCGAGGACAAGCAAGCTAAGAAGCCAGGTCGCAAGCCGCTGACTTCTGAGCCTACAACTGTAGGTCGCTAACGGGGGATGACTACTTGATCAAGCACTGACTCTAGCAACAGAAGCGCAAGGCCCAGAACCGCGCTGCTCAGCGGGCTTTCCGAGAGCGCAAGGAAAAGCACCTCAAGGATCTCGAGACCAAGGTCCAGGAGCTCGAAAAGGCCTCTGATGCTACAAACCACGAGAACGGCTTATTGCGCGCGCAGGTACAAAGGCTGCAGATGGAACTTCGCGAGTATCGGAAACGCCTGTCAATGAACAGCAGCGGCCTCAGCCGCACCCCACCCCTCGCTGGAGGCTTCAGCTCCATGCTCAACACCAGTGTCAATAACTTTTCATTTGATTTCCCACGTTTCGGCGGGCTTCCAGGCGCTCAGCTCCTCGACAACAGCTCACTGACCAAGAACAAGAACGCTTCCGTGTCTTCGAGCGTATCGGGACGACACAACAGTACCGGACGAGACCTCAGCCCCAACAGCAACGCCAACGGTTCCACCACCGACTCTCCCGCCCCAATGAGCGCAGGGGCAAAGACTCAGCGCTCTGGAAGCTTGAACGGTTTCTTTGGCTTCAATAACAACAACAACAACAACAATAGCACACCAAACGCTGGAGCCTCTCGCAGCAACACGACAAGCTCTACGGGATCGCAATCGCGTATCTTCCAATTCAACAGTGGTTCATCCAATCACTCGGACTCGCCTTCGAATTCTTCCACATCGCCCACCAACCAAAACTCGTCCTGTGGCACATCCCCAGAACCAAGTCATGCTTCGCCCAACCAGCAGGCAGACACAATCACAGACGGCTATGTGTGCCATGGAAACTCCGAAGGTGAGGTGCTCTTCTGCGAAAAACTCAACATGGCCTGTGGAAATCCTCGCAACCCCATGCCTCGTGCCATGTCTCAATCTGACGCCAAACCTTCTCCCGCAGTCTTATCCGCCAAATCCCCGACTCCTGCCGTCAGCGGCATCGACTATCTCGCGAACCAAAACGGCGGACAATTCGACCCTACTCTCTTTGGCGAGTACCGCGATACCCAAAACGCCATTGTTGGCGACGGCGACTTCACCGGTGGCTTCTTCAACGACGCATTCCTCAATACCGGCTATGCTAGCCCCTTCCACTTTGGCGACACACCAGCTGTGCAGAAGCCAAATCCACTCGAGGAGATTGAGCGTGCACAAGACGGCCAAGACGGTGATGACGAGGTCGTTCCAGGCGAGGACGTCAACTCGCTTCTCAACTGCCACAAGATTTGGTTAGTGGAATTTGCAATTATTGAAACAATTGATTCACTAACACCATGTAGGGACAAGCTCTCAAGTCGCCCAGATTTCAAGGACGGCACCATTGACATTGATAGTCTATGCAGCGAGCTCCGCGCCAAGGCCCGTTGTTCTGAGAGTGGCGTCGTAGTCGACCACAAGGATGTCGAAGAAGCCTTGAAGCGACTACCCAAAGAGAACAAGACTCTTGGATAATTGTTCTCATCTGACTGGAAAAAAAAATCTGTGCATTGGGTCGGACTGTTTAATGGCGCACTGATGGTTGATACCTGTCTGCGAGTTTTGAAAAAACTCCCAGCTCACAATTCTTTTCTTCTCAATATTTTGGGTCTTTTTTTTTCTTATTGGGTTGCGATGCAAACTTTGCCACATTTCCACTCGCTCTCTAGTTCTTCTATACTCGCAACATGGTTTGCATGGCACCATGCTGTATCATGTCTTTGTGATTTTGATCTTGGTATGAGAGTTTCATTGTAATGTCCGAGCTCCTTTTTCTGTTTGATGGCAGAAGGCTGGCGTATATGATGAAATGATGTGATGCATACTTCTTAAAATACAATATGTGTTTTTGATCTGTCCTTCATTCTCGAACTTGATAAATTGATGAATAAGGTTGTGCTTAAGCTTTTTGGCGTGCTTGGCTATCAGACGATAATATCGAAAGTAACACTCGTCACATCGTAATTGGAATCACGTCTATCTGTCTTGGATAATAACAAAGAGGAGGTAAGAAGGATGTAATTTAAAAAAAACAATCGTGTCATATCTCACATTGACGGTACTCGATTGTAAACACATCAGTCTATTCCGTCACATATTCATGGACTCTACATCATCAAAGCCTTGCCGATTCCTTTGGCTGCCCCGTCGCACCAGCTTTCTTCAGTGCATCCCACAGCCTGAGGCCTTCCTCCATCCTCGTGTCTTCTTCAATTACAACCCGACCATCGCTCTTCAACGTCCGCAATTGCATCGCACGTTCCGTCCCCCACTCCATGTCCTCTCCCTTCAAAAACTTACTCAGCGGGTGATGAAATGTCTGTGCTGCAATCTGTTTTTCCTCATCAGTCAAGTGGCTGCCATTGCCCCAGAACCAAATGGCCATGTCAGACCCATGCGTGACGCCAAAATGGCTGGGAATCTCTCTATCCACACACCGCGCACGCCACTCGATGCGATATCTATGGATTAGACTACCAGCACCATGTTGCACCAGTGCATTCACCATTCCCCGTCCCAGCGCATGAATCTGGGCATCAGCATAGATATGCCCAAACGCCTCCTGCCAGCTCTTGAAACGCGACGAGAGCTTACCGTCGGGAAAGTAATGTGCCATGAGCACTTTACAAGCTTCCCGAGGATAATCAGCTTCGAGGCGGTGCAGCATGTGCGTATGGCCTGGCTGAGGTGGCCGCCAGGTGCCGTACATGAAGTGTTCGTCTTTGCATTCGCCAATAATGAGGTGAATATTGCGCCGTTTCATGCGTTCCGCGTAGACACCATTGGACAGTTCTTCCAATAAACCATGGCGAACAAACACTCCATCCGTCACCGCGCGAAACTGATGCAACTTCATCTTCCCACTCGCCTCGACAATCTCACTAGCCGGCACCGCCCTTAGTTTCCCCAGCTTCTCCGCAGGCTCCAGCCCAGGATCAATCCCCAAAACCTGCACCAACTCTTCAAACTGATCTTGCGCCTCGTCCAAACTCTTCGGTTGCATCCCCGGCCCATTTGACAGCATCATCGCCCTCTTTACCACCGCTTTGCTCTCGGGCAACCCCAAATCATACGAGAGCTGATGAAACACTGAATGCGAGCCTGCCGAATAACCCCCAAGCGTGATATTCGCCGCGTCACCCCCAAAATACGCGATATTCTCGTGCGTCCACTGCAGCGCTAGCCGCTGATCCCAAAACCCTACGTTAGCGTCGTACTCGGTGCCGCACCCATCGTCGAGCTGACGTGAACCCAGGAACCCGAATACGTTGAGGCGGTACGCGGGGGCTACGACGATGCACCGTGTGGGCGAGTCGGAGAGGAGAGACCGGAGATTGAGGCCGTTGGGCGTGCCCCATTGGAGGAAGCCACCGTCTAAAGTTCATCAATGGAAATGTTCGAGTCAGTTTGCCACGTGCTTTTTCTTCTTCTTTCAAGTATGAAACTAAAACAAAAGAAAAAGCGTCGCACAGGCTTTGTTACCCGTTTTTTTGGTCCTTTTTTTTTCCCCATGTTTCCCAATTAATCGGGATTTGTGCCATGGAGCGGGAAAGATGGACCCGCGGGACTGGGATCTTGGATAGTAGTAGAAGAGTGGCGCAATCACGCCCCCCCCCCTCCATCCCCAATCCGATATACTTTGCGTTGAAAAAAAAAATGGAAATACAAAAGTCGAAAAATGAAAAATAAGGAAACAAGGAAATTGGGAAATAGTAAAAAGAACTGGGAAATTTTTCACATACGAATCCAGAATAAAACCGGCCACCCTGCGTACACACTCGTTAGTTAGCTGACACACCTTCCCGCATGCCTCCGTCCCTGTCCCAATCTCTCACAAAACTCACCTCGCGCCGGCACCTCGCCAGCCGGAACCCAAACATTACACTGCAAACAATTCTCGTCCTCGCCTTGGGCCTCTTTCCCCGGCACAACCGGCGGCTGCGGACACAAGCCGCAGGCCGCGTCAAACACGCCCGGGTTAGCCTCAGTCCCGTAGCGATAGCACGGCGGCAGTGGTTGTGGGCGCTGAAAGCGGCGCGCGGGGAGTGCATAGGGGATGCCACCGAAATAGTGGCATTGCGGGTGGCCTGTGGAAGGGTCGTGGTGGGTGAGGCCTTGGGCGTGGCCGCGGAAGGAGAGGTTGAGGGTGTAGGGTTTAGATGGCATTTGTCTCGCGGGTTGTATGTGTTAAAAAAAGATATAGAGATGTTGTAGGAGACAAGTGAGAGGTGCATGTGTATGGCATTAGGGGAGACCTCGGTTATGCAGAGGCGGAGGGCGGGTGATCTGCAACAGTTCCATGTGCTTACGCCAGGGTCGCGCGAAACCTTGAAAGGGGGAGGGATGTGTATAGTGTGTGTGTGTGTGTGTGTGTGTGTGTGTGTGTGTGTGTGTGTGTGTGTGT